CTTAAGCGGATAAGTAACAAACTGGCAAAGGCAGAAAAATTTCACAGGACAACATCATGGTGTTCTTCCTTGCAGTCGCGCTTTGCGTGACTAAATTAAATGACAGCTATGTAGGAGATTAACGGAATTGTAACTCTTAACCACGAAAGAAAAATAATATCTTAAAGGCTTTGAGCATTCGTCGCACAGACACCGGTCAAGCTGCACTAAAATGGGCTTTGACGCCACACGTGAATCTTTTGACCACCTCGAAGAGTGACTAGAATCTAAACTCTCCTTACAATATCACCCCTGAGTCAGTTATAAAGGTCACGAGAATAAAGAGATTTATCACCGACTAAAGAAGCTCTTCATTGTTAAACAAATTGTCCTTGTCAGCACCTTAGGAAATGCGTCATGATGGACAGCATGGAGAGTATAAATATTGATGTTGGGTGTTAAGGGTTAACGAGTGACCATTATTGCAACTGTTGTTTGATTATTCTCTTCCTCCACAGGCCTTGATGAATGCTAACCGTCAAAAAGGGAGCCGTCAACCATGGAGAACTTGGGACAGCGGTAAAACAGCTCTTTACGCTAAAGAATATTGTGATACTTCTAGAATGCAAAAGTCCAGCTGCTGTCAAAATATAATTGAAGGGAAATAATAGCCGACGAAAAAATTGTGATTTGCTTTAAGCTCGCGCGGATTTGATTAAAATAAACCAAGTTCACAAATACCTGGCTCTGTTGTTGTTTTTCTTTGATTTGTTCACTTCAATTTTTTTTTGTTTGTTTGTTTCAGTCGAGGTAACTTCTTTTTAGTCAGTTTCTCTTTTTGATTTAGTTTTTTTGGTTCTCTCTATTCGAGAGTTTTTTCCCATGCTGGAATTTCACTAGAATGAAATAAGGTTGCTCGAGATAATTAACAAACAGAGAAGCCTTGGCTGTGCTCTGTTCTGTTGTAAAGCGCGGAGGAAACGCCGGCTTAAGTACAAAAGAAGTGTAGGGAGGAACACGAGATGTGGTGAAGTGTTTCTCCCTAGTGCTTGAGTGCTCTAGCCGCTTCCTAAGCCCAAGGCGAGTGTTTCAATTTATAAGCTTTCTGAGAGTTTCTGAGGGTGTTATCCCAGCATTTTAAATGGCTTTATCACGCTGTAGAGTCCGAAAAAAATAAATGATATTGCTTTTAGGACAAAAGTAACACAGGAACATGAAGATTGCTCGGGATGCCGTAAAACTGGGCTGTAGGCGCTCGATATACTGAATCCACGACTCCCTTGTTTCGCCAAATTCACTTATTTTCACACAGGGTGCCATTCCGATGCGAAATTACCGGTTTATACTCGTCACTCAGCAAAACCCCACTGTAAAAATCCCTTATATACATATATATATACCAGTCACGATGGAGGAATGCAGTCACGCAGAGTCACGCACCTACAAAAGCTGATAGCACAGGTTTCTGAATCAACTGGACCAAAGTTTTAGTTATATTAGTTAAAATAGAAAGAATGAGAAAGGTTGTCGTCATTGATATTGTGAACACAAAAACAGCGAAAAAAAAAGTCTAATATTTCCTCATGACTGGGTTGATCAGTTGGTAATTACTCTCCTGGTTTATTAATTTTGGGACAGAAACCAAGAATTGGTGAAGAAAACACCTGGTTTGGTCCCCCAAAAGCTATGAATCGTGGTAAATATATCTAAATTGTAATATATCAGAAACTTCTATATTTCTCAAACAATATCCGGATATTAGTGAAAAGTCTATGTCCAATAAAAATTGTTGCTGCCTCTTTGACGTGTGAATAGTTAATGGTTGGACATTATCATGAAACTCACGTCTATTGCATTTAAGAGCGTGTCACTGTAATTTCTGACCACTGGAAATTGGTTCAAAAATACATCTTGCCTTAAGCTTGGCATGTGAATAAGGAAACCATTGCCTATCATCGGAACAAAAGTGGTTTCCTTCAGATTTCAAAAGGTTTTTTTAATTTTGAACGATTTTCCGCAAGCAGGTCGAATCGTGAAATTGACATCAGTTAAGTACACAATATGAGCAATCTTTATTAGGATCTCACGCTGTCAAAAATGATTCAATACGAGAGATGTTCTGGAATAGATATTCTGCAAAGTTTAAGGCAAAATTTATTTTTGAACCAATTTCGAGTGGTCGGAAATTACAGAGACAAACTCTTAACAACAACAACAACAGCAGAACCAATACTGATTACAACAATACTTTAATGTGGACATTAAAACAGTAAAGATGAGGTCCAATATCTCCTCATTTTTGGGTTAATCAATTGCTAATTATTCCCAAAGTCTTGGCATATTGGCATAAAATGACGTTCAGTTCATTTTTAAAACGGTTTGTACTGGATAATCTCTTCATTTTGTACATAGAGGACTCCAAAAGCTTAATGGTTTGTAGCAAGCAGGTTTACTGTTGAGTTCCGTTTCATAATGGGGTTGCTTAAATGTCAGATTCCTACTCAGTAAATTGTACTTGCAAACATATTTCTTAAAGGAGCAATTTTTAAACCTTTCCATGGCTTTCCTTCAAATTTTGAATTCATTTCTGTTATCACCATTTTGCAGAAAGCACCTCTTACTCCAATGCTACTTCATTAAAACCAGTTTATTAACACACACTGTGCATATTTCAATGGCCCAAGAGAATGTAAGAAAAAAAAAATATATATATATATATACTAAAGCCGGAATACTCTTTTTATCCTTAAAAAGGTACAAATTTCAATAGACCATCTTAATGGTTGGTCCTTCGTGTTAAAAGTGTTATAAGATAAACCACATATTTTGAGAATATTTACAAATGATTCAATATATTTTGTTTGGGCTTTAAGTTTATTTCATTTTGTAGGTAGCAAGACTTTCATATTCTTCAATTTCTTTTCCTTAAAAAAAAAATCCATCAACACATACCTTGCCCATATCAGTGGCTCAAAAAAAGGCACGACTGATATCAAGATGGGCGATATTTTCTGGCGGTGAGACAAACATTTACCCACTCGCTGAGGAAGAACTACGCTTTAGAAGCCATATAAGAACTTACGTTTCCCGCAGTAAAAAAAAGGGGCTGGTTAGATTTCTCTCTGGAATCTTAAAACGCGGCAAGTAGAATATCTATACATCTATATTCCCTAATTGCGCTGGAAGATAACCTGAATTAGATGGTTTTGGAACAAAAATGATCTTAAGAAAAGAAAACATTCATTTTGAAATTTTCGTTTTTATACGTCAAACTATGTAGCTCTGATTACTAAGTTGAAATGGTTTTAAATCTTATTTTCTTTATTCACTCATTCGCCTTTGGTACCTGTTTTCTGTTTCCAGCAAGAGTCAGCGGCCCATTATTGAGCAAATTTGTTTTGCCAACGCGGGTTATACTGTAACGACATCAAACTTACATTTGGAGAATAGAACGCAGATCACTTTGAAATAGGAAATACGTATGGTTTTCCAGAGTATCCAAAGCTTGTTTGTATTCAGATCCCCATATCAGCCGATATCTGATCGTGGAGGGTAGATCACCGGAAATCTAAAAAAAAAAGGTTATTAAAAAATATACACAGTATATGTCAATGGGTACTCCTAACTGATTGTTCGTCGCGTAATTATCAAATCAGATAAACCAAATTGTTTAAAATATATTTACTCGTTTAAATTCTTAACTATTTTCAACTCATCAACCTAAGAATAAGGAGAAATTGGACTTGATTTTTTATGTAAGTTCTAATTTCCACCATAGAGTATTGCTGTAGTGAGTATCAATTGGTTTTCTTGTTGTTAAACGCACTAGACGAAAGTTTATCACGAACTGATTAACCCAGTTGTGAGGATATTTGACTTTTTTTGTTGCTGTTCTCGTGTCCACAAAATTAATGACGACAATCTTCCTCATTCTTTCTATTTTAACTATTACTGCTAACACTTTAATTCGTCCAGTTCATTCAAAACCGGTTTATTTTTAAAACAACCCGTGCTATTTTAAATCTTTTGTAGGTGCTTCACTTTGCGTGACTTCATTCCTCCATCGCGACCTGTATACGAGGTTTTCACATTTAAGTGACCAGGATAAACTGTAACTTCGCATAAGTGAATTCGACCAAACAGAAGAGTCGTGGATTCAGTATGTCGAGCGCCTGCAGCCTACTTTTATGTCATCCTGAGCAATCTTCAGGTTCCCGTGTTCCTCATGTCATAAAGGCAATATCATTTATTTTTCCGAGCTCTATAGCGTGATAAAGCCATTTGGGATATTGGGATAATACTCGCAGAAACACTCAAAAAGCTTTTAAAACACTCACCTTCGGCTTAGGAAGCGGCTAGAACAGTCAAGAAGTAGAGAGAAACACTCGACTACATCTCGTGTTCCTCCCTACACTTCTGTCGTGTTGTAGCTGCTTCCTCGTGCTTTATAACAGAACAGAGCATAGTCAAGGCTTCTTTATTTTTTAATTATCCAGAGAAACCTTATTTCATTCTAGTGTAATCACAGAATAGATAAAAAAAAAACTCTCGAATAGAGAGAATCAGAAAAACTAAATTGTAAAGAGAAACAGACTAAAAAAACGAAATTACCTCAACTACAACCAAAAGAGAAAAAAAACTTGAAGTGAACAAAGTCACAAGAGAAACAACAACAACAGAACCAGGTATTTGTGAACTTGGTTTATTTTTATCAGTTCGACATGAACTTGTAGCAAATCAAAACATTTTCGTTAGCTATTTTTGCATTACTTCCGTCACATTATATTTTATCAGTAGCCCGACTTTTGCGCCCTAGAAGTATCGCAATATTCCACAGCGTAAAGAGCTGTTTTATCGCTGTCGAAAGTTCTCCATTCATACATTTTCAAGGTTGGCATTCATCAAGACCTGTCAACTTGAAGGAAAAGAAAAATCAAAGATAAGTCCTTAGGAGGGTCACTCTTAACCCTTAAAACCCTAACATTAGTATTTATATTCTCCATACTGCCCTCTATACATTTCCAAAGATGCTGACA